TGGGAATTCACGATCTGTTGAGTGACCATTCTATAAACCTCAAGCCACAGGAATTCACGGTCTGTTGAGTGAACATTCTTGTATCAAACCACGGGAATTCACGGTCTGTTGAGTGACCATTCTATAAACCTCGAGCCACGGGAATTCACGGTCTGTTGAGTGACCATTCTTATATATTGAAATAATTTATGTAAAATGAGCTTCGCAGTTCATTAAATTTGTTTCAAGACCAACTCAACTCATCACCTCACCTCATGAAATCGACCAAAGCAAGATAGGGGACAAACATAATCAAATTATTTCAAGTTTTCCTTCATAACTGTCTTTTGGATGCAGAAATGATTGATAATGCTGGAAGAATTCAGGTATACCAAAAGTGGAAGACCCTCCAGATATCGCCGGTTTCAATTTTTAAGTTAGTTTTCCAAAACTGCAGATATTTCAATAGTCAGTGTATAGAAATTGAATAAAGGCTTTTACGAAATTTTGTACGCGCTTTTAGACTTTACAAAGTATGACGTAATGCTTCATTGCAATCATTATTCACTCAGGACTTGCTTTTGGTTTTCAGCGAGATTTTGCCTTTTTTAGTTTTGCGTTGGTAAACATTCCCCTGAACCATCAGACCATATGAATCTGCCATTTACATATTGTTTGTTTGTTGCCTGCTTAACGGCCTAGCAATAACAAATGCTTATCGGGCCTGACAACAGTCAGAACGGTCACAAAACAAAATACACAAAAAGGAAACTGAATGATAACATGTTAAAAACTGCATACACAAGTACACAGCAAAATATTAAGATATTATTACAAGTATTTTCAAAATTCAACGTTTATGGCATTGACCAATTTCACGTAGATATTCCAAAACGTTCCGACAAATTGGTTGTACGGAACAGGGTTTTCGTATCAGGAACACCATAATAATTGTCTTGAATCTGCCTAAAATCGACACTTTCGATCAACCTTTGAGGCACAGTGATATGTTTGCACATGATGGCAAAGTAGCTGATCCTATCGCCGATGTATAGGTGTGTTGGATTTGGAAATTTTATAAACCTAATTTATTTTACAACAATTATGAAACAAGTTTTAACAACTTATATTAGTTATTATATTAATCACTCTTTCTTGTCGGCCCAGATGTTAGCGCGGAGGGGGGGGGGGGGGGCTTTTTGGGGGGGGGGGGGGGGGGGGGGGGGGCTTTATGTGGGAGGGGAACGGTTTCAAGTTCGTTCGGGGAATCGAACCCCGGCCACATTGGTGAAAGGCACGTGCGTTATCCTCTGTTATCACCCGACCAGCCATGTGAATGGCTTTCATGGGGAAAAAATGTATCTATTATAATATATAATACACATTAGTGCCATTAAAATTAAGCAATGACCCTGTTAATTCATATACACATTTTCAATATTGAAAATAATCTAGCAACTTATTTAAATTTGACATCAACATACTTACTTCATTTTGATGAAATATCATACAAGTTACAACGGTACTATGCTAAAGCTAATCTACGGATATGTAACGAAATCGTAATTCTATTTCAAAGTTGATAAAATAGTGTAAAGTATTAACAGAAAATTTTAACTAGGCCCATAGAAATAATACAGAGAAACAAGACCAAGTGTTCCGGAAGGGAAACGTTTTCTGTGTCCTCGAAGTATGTCTAGGTTAAATGAAAGTAACGTGTAGTCTTCAAAACGAAAACTGAGGTAGTGACAACGGAACAACAAGGTTCACTTTTGAGCAGAATGAAAAAAAATGCCGACCTCTTATCACACAAAGAATATTTCCACGTGATATAATGATGGCGACCATAGTTTATAAAACTGTATCTCTCAACTGTGTTGTAAGTTTGTCTGTCAGTCAACATGTATTACATAAATCATGAAACTGGCAGCAAGCTCTTTGATAAGAAATGAATTGCTACATGCAAACAATGTACATTTGTAGGTTGGGGAAGCAGGGACGGTACTCTCAAGAAAGGGAAAGTTCGAGAAAGAAAAAACGAAAACATAACGCGTATTGAGCTGCTTACAAATACGCCGTCGCTGTTGGCCATGTTGCATGAAAATAATGCGTTTCTTTTGCTTGGTATGAGGTAGTTGGTGTAGAATGTGGACAAGTCATGACATATCTTATCTTAATCTCCTGTGATATAACGCACGCGCGAACAAACACCAAGACAAAGGGATAATACGTATATTTCGGACCTTTGACTTTAAATTCCACTGTTGAATCATGAATGGCAAAATCATGATATGTTACAGAAAAATGTTTTCTATTTTGGCTTGCTTCATCTACAAACAAGACTCTCAATTAGGTGCTTAGTTTTATCGTATTTCTAGTGATTAATATACCGGCCATGTCCCAAGGTAATTGTAATTACTGTAGATATTCGTTAATGACCAATGTCCATTTAATAAGTGAATTGGACGAAGCTGTCATGAAGGAATTTAAAAATCAGATCCACTGTGTTATCATTAATTCCATTTACTGGCAGTGGATACGGCGGGGCTGCGTCGCTGCCCAGCACGGGGCTATTTGTTAAACATTCATAACAAACCACCACAGTTGTTTCAAAAGACATTTTCAATTGTAGTTCAGTGTCAAAGTATAAACATTTGATATAATGTACTCGGCGAAAACACAGGTATAGGCGTAGCTTGATTCAACTAGGTCGGCTAATCATCTCAATCATGCTTTGAGGTTTTTTTTAATTCTTAATTTATTTTTCATTCCTCCCTCGATACCATTTGATTGATATAGAATTATTTCTCTGAATCACACCACCGATGTTAGCACAATCCATGGTCACGCAGAACACAACCATTGTGTAAACACGCCCGAGGTTGTCATCAAATATGGCGGATGACGGCTGCTTCTATCACTACAAATACTGTTGGAGATGCAAGTCAAACGCAATTACTTGAATTGTTCATGAAGACTGAGTCCCATTTGGACAAAAGAAAATGAATAGAAATTAATTCTTGTTTTCGTTTAATTTTGTTCCGAAAGCTAAAGTCATAGTAAGGTGGACATTGCTGAACAGGAAGTGAAGGTAGAAG